CACCTCTGGCCTGTACCCCAATTCTGTATACATAAATAAAAAGCTTTTTTAAAAGCCCTGTTGCATGTGTCGTGGAGCGATGGTCTTTGCTGGTATGCTGGTTTTTCATACTATAAGGAGGAGATCACCCATTTCATGACCTGAATGCACAAGTGGCCCCTGGATAGCTAAAAGTGGTTTATAATGTGCTTGATAAATGAGAGCACCGGTGGCTTAGGCCTGGAGTCTGGTACTTGGGCCTTTGGCATTCTTTCTGCATCTCCCACCCACATGTCCCAGCAGATGACCTCTGGGTGGGTTGTTTGTTTCTCCCTTTATCTTGCCACCTCATGTCCAGCTAGGCTTTGGCTCAGCAAGCACTTTCACAGGTAGCACAGTGGATCAACTCACGCTCAAGGTACAAATGAACAGAGCAGATTTGTGCAAAGTACAACCTGGCCCCCTTCCCTGCGTGGGTGGGGGGCTGGTGGAGTGATCTGGGCAAATGCCTGCCCCGTGGGGGGGGTTTAGAGTCCTGATCTTTTGCCACTTGAGAAAAAGATCCAGTAGCCAGATAAACCTGGAAACAGCATCCAGGTGTGGATCCTCCCTTTGGAGACTCACAGAGCAATAGGGATTTGGGGAAGCCCTCTGGCCACAGCTCTGCTTACTTTGGTTTAAGCCATCAATGTCCAGTGACAGTCGCTGTGACAGTGCTAGCTTAGGACACAAGAACTGTCCACACCACCAGCTTCATCACTGTCTCCCAGTCCAGAGGCTCCCAACAACTATACATTGACATCAAGAAACATATGGAGATACAAGGGTGAGCACTTCAGTCAGCTGACGTAACATTCTGATGCATTCAGTCTGGAGGGAGACCTGGAGATCGGAGTGTCAATACTCCCCAGGTAAAAGAATATTAAATAATAGTTCTAGGGTCCTCCTTGGTGGGCAGCAGGTTAAAGTGCAGTACTTCGAAGCTAGCTGCAGCAACTTTAGCATGAGTTAGATCCCCAGCCAGGTGACCCACATGGCGTGGCAGACCTCTCCTGTCTGACCTGCTGCTCCCCTCAGCAGTGTGCTTCATTGATCTGCCTGTCCTACTCCTCACTCTGTCTCTGGTGAATCCTCTCACCACCCCTGCACCTATGGCCTGCACCCCAGTTCTGTATGCATAAGTAAATAACTCTTTTTAAAAATAATATTTCTAAACAAAACTAGCAGGCAAAAGATACATTGGAGACATTCCACAAGGGAGGGTATTGTAGAGGGATCAGAACAGGGGAGGGAAGAGCCCAAGATGCTATCGTGATGGTTCATGGGTGACTTGGTGGGAATTCTAGGGGGATTACATCAGGAGGAACAAGAATGTAAAAATATCACACAATAAATAAATAAATAAACAGTAGTTCTATATCTCATAGGATAACAGCAGGTTAATGAACACGTGCTTTGTGTCAGGCACCGAACAGGTATAACTTTGTTTTCCTATTTTACCCTTAAATCTACCTCATTAATGGAAACAGCCCTCCACATCAAAAGCCAAGGATCCAGGAGGAGAGAGGAAGGGGAGAGGGAAGGATGCGTAGACATGGGAGAGGGAAGGGAGAAAGTGTGTGAGGAGGGGGAAGAGGAGGGAAAGAGAGCACAGTGGCCTAGGGCCAACTGTGGCTGCTTGGTGCTGGGAGAACTATTAACACACACACTGGAGGGGAGAAGCCCTATATTATAAAACACTTAACAAGAGTGTAAAATAATGGTACTTTATTTAAAAAAAAAGTATGTACATATATATACACACACATATACATACATACATACACACACACACACACACACATATATATATATATATATATAACTATAGCATCTAATGACAGCTTTTAGAAACTGAAATGGTGTAAAGCAAAGAAAAAATTATCTTTCACTTATATGAAAAATTTGTGTGTGTTCCCAACCCAGAAACTACCCTACTGGCTCACACCAAATAATACAAAACCATAAAAATGTTCACATATAGTAAAAATAGGAATGACATGACACAGCCAGGAAAATCAGCCCCAAGGGCTCAGTGCCTGCCCACCCTCCACCCCTCTTGCTCCCTGCCTGATTCTAGAACTGCCACAAAACCAGTGTGGAATGCTGCCTTTTGCCTTCTGTAGTAAAAGTGAAACTCGTCTTCAGATTGCTTTCAATAAGCAAAAGCAGATACCACTGTAGGTCTTCTGTGTAGGCCTACATTGGGAAGGGACATAAAAAAGTGGGTTGCCAGTATTATCATCAGTCTCAAGTAAGAAAATGGAAGCAGACTGCTCCTTTATGCTCACACAGCTTGTGTGACCCAGGGCTGAGAAATCAGAGCCTCCTACTTAAATAGCCGTGTTCTTTGGTCTACACTAGGTGGCCTTCTGGGGTCGCCCCTCTCTTAGTTTGGAAGTGTCCATTACTGTTACTGCAGGGTAGTGAGCAAACGGCTGTGAAATTAACTAATGCAATAACAGCCCTCTAAAGTTCCATTCAGCAAAATCACCTCTAAGTTATGTGTCCAAATGGTAAAGATAAATGACCAAAAAAACACTTTGAGATCTGTATTAAGTGTAAAGATTCCGGGTTAACACTGCTTGTTTATGTTGAAAAGCACTCTTTAAACACTGCACAATTCCGAGGCATGTGGCCGTTAGTTTGCTTCCTCTTAAAATAGTGATAACTCCAATTATTATTATAATTGGAGCCAATAAAAGGTAGAAATTAGCACCTAGAAAGAACTAAAAAGTCAATGTGCTAGCTAGAGGTCCTATAATAAAGCTCTCCTCCAAGTAAATTCCCTCAAGTAGCACTGAAAATGCACCCCACACCAGAGCTGCTGTTATTATGTTCTTCCCACTGGTTGATCTAGAGACAGTACACCGGGTTCAGTACTGGCTGCAGATAAGAAATTCCACACTTACATTTGAAAATTGTCTTTGATCATTTCCTCACTTTTCCTCAAATCGGGAATGCAAACAAGATCCGTCTCTGAAATCTACGAGATTATCACACCACAGAAGCCACAGAGATCATTTGAAAGGACTTGACTGCCATCTTGTGGTTAAAATGTGCATTACTGCTGAGGCAAGGATCTGCACAACCTGTGCACTGCTAAAGTCATTTCTTTTATGACTAGAATACTTAGACAACATTTGGCATGCCCTAATAAACTAAAGAGAAAAAAGGTGTTAAGGTGTCTAGCAATAGCTTTTGAAGATAATGAGTTATTTTTAAACAACTGGTTTCTCCTAGGAAATCATACCCTAGTAGATTTGTTTATATGCTTTTAATTTAGAAAAAGCAGGACTCTCAAATCCACACTGTTTCAAAGGAAACTCTTTTGTAAATGCAAGAACGGGCCTAACTCCAGAACTATTTCTGTCTCTAGTTCTCCCAACAAAATTCTTTCCTTCCTTCCTTCTTACTTCAACCATTATGTGTAAATGTTCACAAAGAAAGTTCTACATCCAATCCGTACTTTGTAGTTAGTTATGTGGCTTTGAAAGTGTTCCTCAATTTTTTTTTTTTGCTCTCTGTTAAAATACCTAGAAGAACGTTTTTACATTTTAAAACGACTGGGATGGGATCAACAATTAAAAATACAGGACAGAGGGCTCTCCCTGATAGCACAACGGGTTAAAGCACTGTATTGTCAAGCTCGCTGAAGCCACTGCAGCAGAAGTTCGATGCCCAGCCAGGGAGCTGACCCTCCTGGTGCTGCAGACCTCTCCTGTCTTGCCCACTGCTCCCCTCAGCAGTGTACTTCGTTGATCTGCCTGTTCTGCTCCCCACTCTGTCTCTGGTGAATCCTCTCACCCACCACGCCTCTGGCCTGTACCCCAGTTCTGTATGAATAAATAAATCTTTTAAAAAATATTTATGTACATAGGACAGAAAATGCAGTGGCCATAGGCCTACCTAAGCTTTCCACAATAGGAAGTACGCGGTATAATCTCTCGAAGTTCTTTAAAACAGATAGTCTGAATCCAATGGCACCTTGGTTGCCAAGGCATAGACAGGAGAGTGGTACAAGCCAGTAGCACCAGCGCTTCCCCATAGTGGCCACAGAGACCCTGTCCTCTGCAGTCCTGAGCGCTGGGAATGTTGGCTTCTAACGGGTCCCAGCCCCACAGCAGCTCCTCTCCAGGACTGCCCTCAGCTGACCGGACCTGCCCTCTGAGTTGGCCCGTTTCGTTTCGATAACTCGTTAATATGAGCATCCCTTACCTTTTCTGAGGGTCTGCCTGAAGGTGCCAACTCTACAGCTGCCCGGCTGAGGCCTCACCGGCTCCTGCACCGCCGCAGCTCATCTTCTGGCGCAACATGGCCGCCTGCTGCTTCAGATGCTGATCATCAGCCCCTACCCAGAAGCCACCTGCAGACAATTCTCCATCCCAGACTGTCTGTCCGAGACCATGCCTCAGTCATGCCTCATCTGACTCCGGCGCTACCTGAGAGGCTTTTCTGGACCCACCACGAGTGTGCCAGACCCACCTCACCCCACAACTGCACACCCCTCCTCCCTTGCCTTCCCCAGAGCACCCATGCACCAGCATATTTGACAATTTTGTTTAATATCTGCGTCCTCTGCCAGGATGCAAGGGCTTTGTTTTACTCACTGCTGTGTATCCCCACAACCTAGAATAGCAACTGGCAGCGAGTTGCTCAACCAATGTTTATTTAGCAAGCAAGTGTGGGAATGAATGGAAGGCTATGGAATCAGAAGACCTATCATCTTCTGGGAAATCCCTTCAACAGCATGAAATGCATGAAAAAGGGACCTTCATTCTTATGTGACTTTTGAATGACTTATGCAAGGTAAACTATGTGAAAGATGATATAATAAGCTGCTAAAATGAATGTAAAGTGTAATTTTTGTGTTACATGAGTTTCTTATCCATGAAACACTTAATTTTTATAATCCAGAACTACCAGATGAGCAAAAAAGACACAGGAAAACCTTAAAAATGGACCTGACATTAAAATAAAATATAAATATTTATTCCAAAGCCTTATCCAAAATGTACAGTGAAATGCATCTCTTTTAAAGACTTCATCAGTAAAAAGAGTAGTCTTTACATTTAATTTCTATAATTTAGAAAATTTCTTTTGTTCCCACGAAAAAGTCCAATAAAAGTTAATTCCATAAAGTGTCAAATGTACATTCTTGCTTACAAAATGTATTCTCTTTCAAAGCAAAACAGTCCAATGTAATAGCTTTATAAAGAAACTGTTCTCAATTCTGGAAATCATCATTCATCTACATGATTATATTTCCACACGTTTCCTCAATGAAGTAAAAAGATAAATGTTGAAACTTTTTTTCGCAGTGATTTTTTCAGATTTCTCTCTCTGACTAAAAGTGCAACACTGCTTATCCAATTCCTTTCCTGTGGAATATTTTCAGAGTGATTACACAGTTTTTGTAGAAAGAAAAGCAGTGACAGCTGTCATTGAAAAATTTGTATGTTGTCATTCTTTCTTAGACAGTTTTAAGATACAAATTAAAGCTAATGCTACAGTGATTGACTATTTTCTGTAAAGATATTTCAATAAATATTTCTAAAGCCAGGAGATGGTTCATAACCCCTTCAAGCAGGGGTCAGCTAATTTGTTCTGTAAAGATCAGAAAATAAATATTTTAGATTTCTCAGGTCACTTTTCTATTGTATATTTGTTATTTATAATTCTAAAACATGACAAAAATCTTACCTCTGCTGTAATTTACTAATCCCTTATTTAAAAATAGAAATTGTTTTTCTCTAGATTAGACTGCTCAAGTGTCAATGCAATGTAAACTTCACATTTTATAGAAAAATGTAGCCATGGTTTTTGATTACTAGACTGAAGGTTCATGAAGAGAAAGAAACAAACCCCATTCAAAGAGTGGGATTTCTGCTATTCTTTTTAATCAATGGCACTTTCTTAGGTCTTTACAGGGAAATACTTTTCGTGGGCTACCTTGCAGTTTGCAAACTTAAAGGCTGGAATATTTCCATGCTAAAAGAGGTAGGCACATATTCACTGTCTAGGCAGTGACCTGCACAATGGAAACCACCTTGATATATATATTCAACGCAAAATTCTCCCTAAGAAGAAATCAGTACGGTACACAAAATCACCCTGAAGAATGTTCTAGTTTGTTTTTATCATATGCAGTTGTTACATTTGGGGACATATGCTTTGCATATGAAATACATATGAACATAATTTACTATAACAGTATGGTTTATCCAGGTTTTTAGTGCTAAAAAAAAAAAAAACAGCAGAAAATTGAGTGGGAGTTTGACTCTGATAGAATAAAACAGTATTTCATACTCTACTTGATGTATCACATGGCCCAGTAGCCTGGGCCCACATTAGTGGAGAATCACGTGTGTGTGTGTGTGTGTGTGTATGTGTGTGTGTGTGTGTTTGGTGTCTATTTCCCTTTTCTAGCACAATGTTATGAGCAAATTCTGGCCAATTGTAAATTGTGTTGTGAATTGACTCAAATATGTCATAATGTATCATAAACAAGTTGGAAGTCTCTCAAATTCCAGTCACAAGATACCCTACAAAAACATTTATAAACTCTAAAGCTAAGAAAGTCGAAAACTTGGGTATCCTTAAGAAAATTCAACTATACTAGCATGCCTATGCCCAGTTTTTGAACTATACAAAGTACAGCTTTCAGTACAAAAATAGTATCTCGATAAATAGCAATGACACAAAAGGTATATAAAACAGTTGAAAAATATGAAACACATAAGTAATACCCTGAAGGGATGTTTTGGCATCGAAACGGTAATTTAAGAGCTAAGAAATAACACACTATTTTACTGATTTCAGTGTGTCTGGTAGAACATTTAAACACTCCTTCTGCACAGACTCAAGGCAATTACAGCTCTTCATGTGTTCTCTTAAATGGCCACTTGGGGTGTCGAGATACGTGGTCTGCGGCCTGAAGGACAAGGTGCATGAATTCTTCTACATCAAAAGCGTAGTTGGTGAACTTGGGATGCTCCCCTAACGTTGGGTGGTGGCCCTGCAGAAACAAACCAAAACCCACGTCTCTAAGTACAGAGGACAAGTCCTTCTCTGTAAAGGAAGAAAATTATTTCACTTTGACCAGAGAAGCTATTTTAATTTACGCTCAACATCAGAGGCTGAGGCTAGCCAATTTTTTCAGTAAAGGCCAGATAATAGATATCTTCAACTCTGGAGTCCACACAGCCTCTGCCACAATTACTCACCTCACCCCTGAAGTATACAGGCAGCCACTGGAAACACAGAGACAGATGTTGAGCCTGGGCCCAATGTAACTCCTTCTTATTTATATATATTTTACATCAGTCTTCCTTTTTGTACAATCAAGCGTTCTCCTTTCAGGTATAGTCCCTGTAAAATTCCCACCACCCATTCACCCGTGCACCATCACCATAGTCCCAGTGTAAGAACTCCCTCCCTCTCCTGTTTTGACCCCTCTCCCACCCATTCCCCTCCAGTGCCTCTGATTAAGAGAAAACTGTTGGGCCCTCCCTGGTGGTACATCTGGTTAACATGCAGCATTTCCAAGCTAGCAGCAGCCACTTCAGCAAAAGTTCAATCACCTACCAGGGAGGTGACCCACATGGCATGACAGACCTCTCCTGTCTTGACCGCTGCTCCCCTCAGCAATGTACTTTGTCCGTCTGTTCTGCTCCCCACTCTGTCTTTGGTGAATCCTCTCACTGCCCCTGGACCTCTGGTCTGTACCCCAGTTCTATATGCATAAAGAAATACATCTTTAAAAGAGTTACCTGTTAATTTTGTTTTTTAATTTATTATAATTTTTTTCTTAATCCCTTAATTTGATTCCCCTATATTCCTCCTATAAGTGAAACCATCTGGTATTTCTCGCTTTCTTTTTAGCTTATTTCACTAAACATAATACTTTCCAACTCCATCCATATTGCTATGAATGGCCTGAGTTCATCTTTTTTGATTGCTAAGTAGAATTCCCTTGTGTTTATGTACCACATTTTGATCCAGTCATCTATTTTTGGGCATTTGTATTGTTTCTATATCTTACCTACTATAAACAGTGCTGCAAAGAACACAGGGGTGCAAGTGTCCTTTTGAATTAATGTTTTTGTGTCTTGTCCTTTGGGTAGATTCTGAGGAGTGGCATGGCTGCTTCATAGAGAAAGCTGTATTCTTCTTAAAGATTTATTTATTTATGCATACAAGAGCATGAGTTGGGGGTGAGAGGATTCACCAGAGACAGAATGGGGAACAGAACAGGCAGACTGAATGAAATCCACTGCTGAGGGGAATAGCAGGTGAGACAGGAGAGGTCTGTCACACCATGTGGGTCAGCTCCTTGTTCAGGGATGGAACTCATGTTGCAGTGGCTGCAGACAGCTTCATAGTGCTACGATTCAACCCCTTGTGGTAGTTTTTAAGCAATTTGTCTGACAAGTGAATTTTTTAATTTCATGGATAAAATAGCAATAAGTATCTTTCAGGAAGATATTTCAACTTTTTAAAATTTATATATATTTTACAACGTTGTTAATCCAATGCCAACTCTATCTTAAAACCAGATGTGGGTGAGAACAGGCCCACAGGTAGGAGCTCCACACAGATTGCTGATCCCTCCTATATAACTCAATAGATCATTCTAGGCCCAAATTTCACAAAGTTGACTTATCAACACAAAAACACAGAATGATTCATTTCCCTTGTCACTTGTCAGTGCGAAATAAAAAACTATTCCACAGAAGAGTTTGTCTCTGGATTGAAGTTTAATGATAGCTTTGCATATTAGTAAGGAGACACTTTATACCAATTAAAAAATAACATAAGGGACCTTCCTGGTGGCCATTATGGCCTGAGTTCGATTCCTGGCCAGGGAGCTGACCCACATGGAGCAGCACACCTCTTTTGTCCCGCCCGCTGCTCCCCTCAGCAGTGTATTTCAGTAGACCCACCTGTTCTGCTCCCCTCTCTGTCTCTGGTGAATCCTCTCAGCCCCTGCACTCTGGCTTACACCCCAGCTCTACTTTGCAAAAATAAGTAACTTTTTTTTTTTTAAAGATTCATTTATTTATTCAAACAGAACTGGGGTACAGGCCAGAGATGTGGAGGGTGAGAGGATTCATCAGAGACAGAGCGGGAAGCAGAACAGGCAGACCAACAAAGTACACTGCTGAGGGGAGCAGCGGGCCGGTCAGGAGAGGTCTGCCTCGCCATGTGGATCTCCTCGGGGGCAGGCGGGGATCAAACTCATGCGGAAGTGGCTTAAGCTTCTTAGTGCAGTGCTTTAACCCGCTGCGCCACCAGGGAGGACCCAAAATAAGTAACATTTAAAAAAAAAAATCTTAAAAAGTAAAGTAACTTCAATTTTGTCACTGAATGTTACCTTATCTTGAGGGAAGACCTTGTTCTGCCTTCGCCAAGTGACGTAGTGGACACCCCTCAGTCTGGCCAGGTCAAAGTAGCAGCGCTCATCCTCACAGTTGTACCTGAGGTCACAAGCACAACCAGGCTTCAGGCAGCTCCGAGACTCTGCCCAGAGCATTCCTCTGTGAGGAAATGCACTCCCAACATGTTCTTACAGAACTCCCAACATGTTCTAAACAGCCAATAAGACTGAGGGAGATTGTATTTTTAAATATTATCATAACTGTCTTTATTTGTACAACACAGACTAGGGTCAAGGAATGGTGACTGATCTTTACCAATAGGGCAGAAAGCCAGTGAGCTAGATGTTATCTCCTCATACCCTGGGCTTTGGCTCTATGGACATGGACTTGGGTAGCTAAAACATCCAAGGTCACATGCTCATGAGGCAGAAACTGAACCCAGGTCTGTCTAAATCCAATGCCTGAACTTGCTTGCATTTCTCCTGTGCTTCCCTTCCTCCTTTTATTCCCATGACCATCTATAGGAGAAATGAAGCACAATTATCTATTTCTCTAACATACATGTTTAAATGTTTTCTGCAGGTTGTTGGAAGGCCATAACAATTTTTTTTTCTAAGTAGTCTCTCATTTAAATACTGACTCACTTTTAAAGTGAAATCATACATCAAGAAGGTCATATGCAAAGAGAGGAAGTTGGTGGCAGTAACTCTCTTGGTGTCAAGACTGAAGATGGGGTCTGGTATCCAAAGCAGAATTATTAAGGAAGAGAAGAGCATGACTCCATGACCAATCATCAAGTTCAAGGAGGAGTCTCTGGGTCAATCATTTCTACCTTGAAGCATAGAAGGAAGTTGTTGGCTTGTGTTTTAGAGCTGTGTTCTTCAAAAGTTGTGGTAATAAATAGAAGATAAAATTATGATCCTAACCACTTTTTAAGTCAGAAGGTCAGCAATGTTAAGTATATTTTCAGTGTTGTTAGCTGATCTCCAGAACTTTCCCATCGTGCAAAATTAAAACTCTGTACCCATTAAATATTAATTCTCCAACTTCTCATCAGTTCCCCTCCCCCAGGCCCTGGTAACCCCATTCTAGTTTATGACTCTATGAATTTGATTTCTCTAGATGTCTCATATAAGTGAAATGACACAGCATTTGTCTTTTTGTGGCTAGCTTATTTCACCTAGCACATGTCCTCAGAGTCCATCCATATTGTAGCATATAAGGGGATTCCCTTTTGAAGACGGAATACTATTCTATTGGATATGTGTATATGTGTGTGATATGTGATATATATATATATATATATATATCATATGTATGTGATAGATCTAAATATATTTAGATATATTTATATAGGTATATATCTAAATATATTTAGATATATTTATATATGTATATAAATATGTATATTACATTTTGCTTGTTTACATATTGATGAACATTTCTTTTAAATCTTGGCAACCGTGAATACTGCCCCTATAAACATAGATGTATGACATAACAGCTTGCTTTTATCCAACAATTACCCTGATGCGAGGAGATGCTTACTATTTGCAGAGACACAGGAACACACTAGGGTAAGTGAAGTGACAGGTTCATTCCTATTACATGCGGAGATGGGACTGAGAAGGAGGTTTGCTTGCTAAGTGCAATGGCAGGATGCTAAACTACATTTTTGGCTTAAGCTCTTTTTTCTTTCTAGATGCTTATATGATAAACCTTCCCTGAAATGATTAAATATTAAGCCTTTTGATGCTCTGAAGGAAAGTCTCAGCATGTATAAAAAGCATTACATGCTTTCTCAATGTTAAGACAGTCTCCAAACACTTACAATTCAAACACAGCAGCCCAGTCTGGAAGGAAAAGTAAGTGGGTAAGACCAGCTCCATGCATTCCAATAAATATGTCAGTGTTATGAGTGATCCTTAGCTGGTCTAAAAACCCAAGTTCCCTGTGAACAGGACAACAATAAAAGACAGATGAGAAGAGAAAGGATTAAGTTGAGTTTGTTTCTGATACTTGGTAATAAATGTCTTTCTTTGCTTATGTCACATTCTACCATGAATTTTTGCTAACTCCAAGCCTACTCCAGTAATTAATAATTTAATCACATAATAATTTAACATTTATAAAGTAAGTTCACCTTTAAAAAAGTTAAATGCCCCGTTTGTACCTTTTTTTATTGTGGTAACACTGATTCATGATGGTATATTTAATTTAGGGGTGTAAGCTGACACATTTTCAGATATGTTACCATGCTTTCACCAAAGTACTCAGAAATGCATTTATTTTAGGAGACTATTACTATGCCATAAGCATGTAGCACATGCCATAAGCAAAAAGAGATACAAACAAAAAAGTATTATTCAAATCAAGGTAGATACTATCACACAGTAAAGGCCTGCGACCCACTCTCTATGAAAAAAGTGAAATCAACAAGTGTTTAAGAGATGTTAGGACTTACTAATAGCAGACTGAAAAGTATTTGCTTAAGATACTAAAACAATGTTGAAAAATTGAACAAATTCCTCCTTGTGTGATCTAAAGCATTCAATATGGTCTGGGTGTACCTAAAATCATCTCAAAGACCACCTTGACAACTGACTAATAGACAGTTTTCACATTTTGGGACTCAACAAGTGTTCTTTGTGTTCAAGACACTGGAAGATGTGCAAATTCAATGTCAAATGCTCTTTGAAGGGAGCCTCGGACAAAATGCCAGCACACAGACAATGGACTCAGATCTCCCAACCCCATTTACGCAAAGTCAAGCAAAATAAAGGACCAAGAGTGGCTATTACTTACTTATACTTGTAATCAACAATCTGGACTTCAAATGTAGATACTGTTTTCAGTGCATTTACAAGCTGGGAGGGAAAAAAAGCAACAGTGAACATTTCTTTTCCTTCCTTCCCTTTGGTTGTACATTCGCTCTGAGTCCTAAACATCTTATTTTCATACAAAATATTCTTCAGATATTAAATATCCTTCAGCACTAATGCTGTGACCTTAGTTGACTTTAGACAGAGGCTCCACCCTGGGTTGTGAAGAGCGTAAAAGGAGAAGATTCACAGGCTTGTACAGGGCACAGAGTTAGCTCCTACTAAAACTGTCTGCTAGCTGCTCCTTCAACTTTCAACATATATTTGTTGGGTACTACTTGTTCCGGAAATCACACTCAGGGTTTTCATCCCATCCATTATCTCACTTCAGACAAACCACTAGTGCTTTACACCTCATCTTCTCAAAATAATAGGTTCCTGGCAGAAAAATACTTTCAATATTTCTATACAAAAAAACAATCATTCTTTGACAAACAGAAAGTAGCATACTCAAATCTATTATCAGCAATACCGATGTGATTCTCTATGTCCCTCACAACTAGGATCACCCTCATTCAGAATTATCTGCACTTGTATCCTGTTTCTGGTGTTCTACACAAGTCTGCACCAGGAACAGTTACAAAAGCATCACTGAGTGAGCACTTAAATCAGACCATCATTTCTATATGACTTAATCCTCATAGAAATCACACCAAGAAAGTGTCATGATTACTATGCCCACTTTATTAATGATACAATAGAGGTTTCGAGAAATTTATTAACTTGCCCCAGATCTCCCAGGTGGCAAATGGCAGCACCAAAATTAAGCCTAGGTCACCTGACCCCAGAACTTAGGTTTTCAGCCAGTGTACTGGAAGCTTCTACTTACAAAAAGTAACAGGCAACAACCAAACCAGCTCCTTTCCCCCCATTGCACACACACACACACACACAGTCATTAACATGTAACTTTCTAGATAGTCCCCACATCCCGCAAATACGTGCTCACATCAAGAAACTGGAGAAGACTAGGCAATTAGAATTCCATGTTCCAGGAAACAATCAATCAGGTAGGTTGGCCTTGATCTTGTAATAACACAGGCCCTTTGAGTGTTCTGAGGGTCCTGCATCAAGCATGTGCTTCCAGTGATCTCCAGCCACTGCACAGACATGGCTGAATCGCTCCTGACATGATTATTCTAACCCTGAGGTCGGGCAGCATTGCACAAACCATCACAAATGAGGGCATGTGGGTTGAATTATCTATTCATGAGTCAAGGAAGAGTCCACAGTCCTTCTCTGTCTGGTAGCTGCCTTTTCAAGTGATCACTGATCCAAAGAAGAAAGGAGTCACTTGGGGGCCCTTTGGAACTTCAGCATCAAATCTCATCTTCGGGAAATTCCATCGAGGCAATCTGACTAAACCAGGATGGCTGCACTTCGCTTCCCTGGGACGGCCTCTCCAATGGTCTTCTTGATGCTGGTTTTAGCCCGTCCTTTTCCAGCAACCTGAGAACCACGGGGGGCGTGATGGGGGTGGGAAGCCTCCTCTAAGACCTTCTTTGCAAGAGTGGAAGAGCACACTGGGTAGGAAGCTGCTTGGACTCTGATACCTTGGCTTACACCCCAGTCTCTGGTCACACCTTGTAGGATCTTTGGCTTGTTTTTTGGCTTTTAACCCACAGTGTCCTTGTCTAGGAAAGGGAATAATAATAAAATGTCTGTCTCATGGGTGTCTTGGGTTCTCATGCTTGGGGAGCACAGAATACTATGATGACACATAACTAATTCTATCAATATATACTATGGATCTGCTAACTAATGAGATTTCCCAACTATCTAACCCAACACTGCAATCCTTCACATATTTTTATATCCTCTAAAAAAAATATATAGGGCATGCCTGGTGGCACAGGATAAAAGACATTGCTACGAGCTATCGCCAACCACTGCACAAGTTTGATCTCCAGCCAGGGAGCTGACTAACATGGCGCAGCAGAGCTCTCCTGACCCATCTGCTGCTGCCCTCAGCAGTGTATTTCAGTAGATCTGCCTGTTCAGCTCCTCCCCACTCTGTCTCTGGTGAATCCTCTCACCTCTGCCCACCCCCTTTTGGCCTCTACCACAATTACTGTATGCATAAATAAATAAATCTTTAACACAATACGAAAGAATATATACACAAATTGCTCATTTCTTCCATCCATAAATCATTGTATCATTACACCATATGCTCATGGCCTCCATAATCCATATGGGTCTCAGGCAGAGGTGCTAATTACATGATTCTGATCAGCCTGTGAGGCCTACAAATTAATCTGAGAAAAACATTTTACCCATCAAAGTATGGCCCTCACCTCCCACCTGTTTTTGCCATCTCAACCCCACTGAACAGTGTGTTCAAAACTAGGAGTTAACACTTGATTCCCAATAGCTTTCCTGGCCCTGCTGGATGTGGTAACTACCTATTCCAACATAAACATCTCTGTCTCTTTCTCCAAGATAGCTTCTGAATCTCTGCTGTCACTGCCTTCACGTACCCTCTTACCAGGGCATACTGACTGTGCCTAACCAGTCTCCCTGCTCCTACTTCTGCAGCCAGAGTGATTTTAAGCTAAGCAAGCCAGTTTGCCTTCCCTGTGAATTCACTTGCTACTGCTGCTTTAAATTACCATCAATTACTGGGGCATCTTTGGTGGTGTAAGGGGTTAAGTCTCAGCACCACCATGAGGCTGTCCACAGCTGCTACAGCACCTGTTCAATCCCTGACCAAAGAGCTGATCCCCATAGTGGAGAGGACTTCTCCTGTCTCCCCAGCCACTTCCCTCAGTATTTCAGTAGATCCTCCTGTTCTGTCCCCCACTCTGTCTCTGGTGAATCCTCTCAGCATCCCCCTTCCCCTATACGCATACCTCTAGCCTACACTCTAGCTAGCTCTTGTATGCATAAATAAATATATCTTCAAAAAAATAAATGATCATCATCTTAGCATCTTAAAACAACCCAACCAGCCGCATACTATTCTACAGAGGGAAATCCAACATCTGGGATGCAAGTCTCACTGGGCTAAAATCAAGGTGCAGGCATGGGAGTTTCTAGGGGAGAATCCCTGCTTCCATCATCTTCCAGAGGTGCCCTCACCCCTGGATCCTGCCCTTTCTTCCATCTTCAAAGTCAGCAATGTTTCATTCACTGGCCCTGCTTCTGTCCTCATGTCTTCTTCCTTCTGATTCTCTTCTCTTCTTCTCTTTTGTAATGTTAAGTAAGTGCTGAACTCAGACTGGATCGGTGTCAAGAATTCAACTAATAAGAGCTTTCCCAAGCAGAGGCAAAGGTTCTCTGGAGGAATGAGTGTAAAGCTCATTTGTGATTACATCAGGCCTCCTGGATGGTCCATGATAAACTCTCTATCTTAAGGTCGATTAGCACCATAATTTCCCTTTGTCTTATAACTCAACCTACACACAGATTCAAGGGATTAGGACATGGTCATCTTTGGGGGCCACTAACAGATCCTCTTTAAAACTTCAGAGTAATTCCCTGTTGCACTGAAATAAAGGCCATCTTCTCATCAAGGTCTAAAAGCTAATGTGACATGTGACTTTCCCACATGATGCCTGGCCTCTGATTTCTTCTGCTATCACAACATCTCTCCCAATTCTATGCTAAATCATATTAGCATTTTCTCCATTTCTGGAATCCCAAAAACCCTATCCCCAAAGAACATTTGCTTCTGCCTGGGAGACTCTTTCCTTGGACTGATTTTTCTCTGATCAGGTTTCAGTCCAAGCTTCAATGCCTTTCCCTTCCATTGCTCCCCTCCTCACCCCATACTCCATCACATCACCCTGTTTTATTTCCTTTGTCATCCTTATCACTACCTGGGGCCACCTTATTCACTACTTACTACTTATGTCTCGTCTTTGTACATCTCACCACCACTGTGAGCCCCATGAGGGCAGGAGCATTATGTACCATGTTCTCTACAGTAGCTCTGGCCTAGAACTCAGCCCCTCAGACAGCAGGTGCTCAATATACTATTTTGCGAACTAAATCTCACTATCCTGAGTACATCTTCCAGCTTTGCTGAGGTAGGCACAGACCTTGCATGGTGTTCTTACTGAGGTTAGATAAAATTTGTGAGTTGATGCTAAGATGATGAATTGGGAAACCTAAGGAATGAACAATTTCTTTTTCCTTTTAAAAAAATATTTATTCATTTATTTATGCATATAAGAACTGGGGTCTAGGCCAGAGCTATAGGCAGTAAGAGGATTTCCCAGAGACAGAGTGGGGAGCAGAACAGGAGGACCTACTGAAATACACTGCTGAGGGGAGCATGGGCAGGACATTAGAGGTCTGCTGTTCCATGTGGGTCACTTTCTTGGCGGGGATTAAACTCATGCTGCAGTGGCTAGTGATAGCTTGACAGTGCTGAGATTTTAACCCCTGCACCACGAGGAAGCAATTTCTCAGACATATAGTCATGAAAAGGACATGGTCTCTTCCAACCTAATCTGCTATGGGATGCTGCCAGGGCTGCATCAGCCATTTCTGAAAAATACAGTCACATTTTTGCTTCTAGTTTGTCTAGAGACAAATTGTTTGGCAATCTGTGGCAATAAAGGTGGGGTTTAGAGACAGCTTTCTTCCTGTTTTCGCTGAAGTGGGCAGATGAATGTTTATAATAAAGCAAAGCTAGTTTGGGTAATAGGTGGTTTGGTGACTAATAAGTAGAAATTCAAATCCAGTAAGTGAAGTGGGCATATCCATCAAACTTTTTCTAAAAGCTAATGATTTCAAACCAAAGCATTTACTGCAATATGAAAATAAAAGGCACATTATCATAAGACGTTAAATTCAATGCAGTGATATTTAGGATGCATACCAAAAACTCACCTCATTTTGGTTTAGGATCTTTCGGTATTCTGTGCTCCGTGCAAGAATGGTGACTCGGATTTTTCCATTCTGTAATCAAAAGGAAAAGTCAAGGTAATGCCGTCTATGCCTGGAGAGGTGCAGGAATACCTGAAACTAAAATGGGATTTCCACAGAAGTGAAGTTCACTAAGGACACATTTATGAAACTATTATTTTTTAGCCTGGTTCCTTCACAGTTCTGTCAGGGAATAAAAACACAATCACTTAAGCTACAAAAGACAAAAGGAGAGGAAAAAAGCACATTCTTCCAGAGATACTAGTTTATCTTTGTAAGTTACTGTCATCTGATTTTGAATTCCTCCAAGTTCAAAAGGCTTACCACAGAAAACACGATCTTCTGATTATTGCTTTTTCTGCAAACGTGGTATTGATTTTATTAGAAGTGAAACATCAAGCCCACCTAAGAATCCATAATGTATTCCTTACCTTGGGCCCCTCTTGTGTGATGTTCAGTCTGTATAATACATGCTGGGAAAATGCCCTGAATAATCCAGTATTCTGACAGCCAGATATCTAAAATAAAAACAATAATTTACATTACGATAATTATGTCTACATTACTATTTCAAATGTTCTCAAGTCATATATAAATCTTAACATCTTATCAAGAGTTAACATAAATCTTCCATTAACATAAATCTTTACCAATACACAACACACTTACCAAGGGGGTGTTATAGAACAGTCCATATCTCATGCGGGGGAGTAATGAAAAAATAGCTTCTTTAAAACATACCTAAGATCAAAGAATTTTTAAAAGGTAAGATAATACGATTTGTATTCTTCATACAAAACAGCACCTATGATTACAGAAAGTAAATTTTAACCAACCCAACCCCTATTTTACATTAAAATATTTCAAATAGCATACTTTTCCACTCAACTGAAATAACACATTGTTATTAAAACTAGGGGAAGTAAGTTTCTAAAATCTGCATGTTCACAACACTGAGGACTCTAGTTATAAAAAGAAAGTGAGAAATCAATGGAAATAGCTAATAGAAACTCATTAAATATTTGATGAGTGAGTCAATCTGCAATGTTAGTTATTCATAGACATTTCGGTCTAGTTTACCGTACCCTTTTGGAATCATAAGTTTTCAGATGTATAACATCATAATCAGTAAATGATTTCCAAGTCTCTGAAAATAGGTCACCATACCCATAGGAGCTCTGAAAGTGGAAACAAAATACATTAGAGCAATAAGAGAATACAACATGGTTTTTCAAAAATGCTACAAAATGCCTGCCTTAGCTTATAAGTCTTAAGAATTAATGATCCTAAATAAGCTCATAAAGTCTAGATATGAAAAACAGATTTCCACTTTGGGTCTGAGCAAGTACCTAATTTAATGTAATAACATCAGAAATAGCATCACAATTATAACTAGAGTCTACTAAGTATTTTGTTTTTCTACTCTTGTCTTTCTTATTCCCATGACTTTGAAAAGTAGTCATGAGGATTTCTTCTATGTTCTGACCAAAAATCAGAGCCAAACAAGCTGCATCCATAAGCCACCATTTGTGCATCCATAAACGCATCTGAATGTGCTCAGAGTAAAGGGAATATGCTTTTGGAAAGATATTTCTATCAAGAAAATGCCTTGGAAGTTTCTAGCATTCACAATACAATATACGTAATTATGAAATGATATCCTGATTGAATGATTAATGTGCTAATTCCCCACTACTACAGCATCTTGCATACTTCCCAAACCCCAGGCACCATTCTAAGCACTTGACACTATTAACATGTTAATACCACCCCTTAAACTTAATGATCTAGATAAATTCACTGTCTCCATTTTACAGATGGGCAGACTGAAACACAATTTTAAGTAATCTGCCAATAACTCTGGAGTTATTGTTTGCAGGACTGGGACGAAATCCAGTTTCTTTGGTTCTGAACTCCAAGCTGGTAACCTGTACAGTAACGGCCTCTCAGCTAGAACTAGCTCTTCCTAGTATATTTATCATATACACTTTTGAAAAGCGGAAACTAATTATGTGCTCCCTCAGCTAAAGCAAAAGACATTTATTGTAAAAATGGAAATAAACTGAAAATTTCATCCAGAAGAAGTAAGAAATACGCATTATAGGATTCCATTTGAGGTCCACAGTTTTATATTCATTGAGTTTGTGCCCTTTTATCTTTATAGCATATGTTGTTCAAATCCTGAAAACTTTGATACAGGTATTAGTACTATTTCAAAGCTATTGACACGGTTGGAAGTGGTGATGAAAAAAATATTTTCCTTATTAAATGGTCTCTGATATTATTCTAATAATGTTTCTCAACGTCATCAGAAATGAAGGGCCCCTGTTCTAACTCAATAATAAGTAACAGGTAATTAAAGGACATTATTCCAGACAGTTTCTTGAGATAACATATTCTGATAAAATAAAATACCTTTGAAAGTAAAGTGTAATAACATACTGCAGTCCGGATTGATCCCTTTTCATGGAAATCATGTAATAAGCATCCCTAGAAGCTTCTTTTCCATGTCCCTCAACTTCAAATTACCTGCCACAGGGGAAGGAGAGATATCTTTCTATTTTTGCTTGAAGGATATTTGGATATTGTCAAAAATGACACAGAATTTCCTCTTGTGACTATCTCAAGGTTAGACATGCACATAACACATAACTTAGAAATTCCACTCACAGGAATCTGTCCTACAGCAGTGCCATGATGGGTAGGTAAAGGGGGTGTACACTGCAACATTTCAGGAAGCAAATGAAATATGACTGAGATGGGGGAGAGAAAAGACACACACTGAGTCATACATGGGATACCATATCCATCAAACAGATATGCCATGCACTGCTGAAAAGTTGGCACAGCCAGTGTGCTGGAAAGATGTCCATGATAGAATATATTTTTTAAATATTTATTTATGTATGCATACAAGAACTAGGGTGCAGGCCAGAGGTGTGGGGGGTGAGAGGATTCACCAGAGACAGAGTGGGGAACAGAACGGGCAGATTGACTGAAATACACTGCTGAGGAGAGCAGCAGGTAAAACAAGAATGGTCTGCTGTGCTGTGTGGGTCAGCTCCCTGGCTGGGGATGGAACTCGCGCTGTGGATAACTGCGGATAGCTTCATAGTGCTACACTTTAACCCCTTGTGCCACCAGGGAGGGCCCCTATGATAGAATATTTTTTTTTTTTAAGATTTATTTATTTGTGCATACAGAACTGGGGTACAGGCCAGAGGCTCAGGGGCGGTGAGAGGCTTCACCAGAGACAGAGTGGGGAGCAGAACAGGCAGATGGACGAAGTACACTGCTGAGGGGAGCAGCGGGCGGGTCAGGAGAGGTCTGCCACGCCATGTGGTCACCTCCGGGGCAGGCGGGAATCGAACTCATGCGGAAGCGGCTTTAGATTCTCAGTGCAGTGCTTTAACCCGCTGCGCCACCAGGGAGGGCCTGATAGAATATTTTTAACAATATGTTTATATCTACGAGAATATAAACATATCCTTATACAAATCATATATATCCATATTTACATAATTGTAAAATATTTTGTAAAATATAGTTATTTTACAGAAGGAAATGTCTATCAGTTTATTAAAATTTAATTTAAAAATGTCTTGCAAGAGACTCTCATGCTTTAACTGCAGTTACCTTTGAGAGAAATGAAATTAGAGAAACAGAAGAAGGACTTGAATCATTACAACCAGGCATCACTTGCATGACTAAAAAGAATAATAAAGCCATGCTACTTTCAGGCCAAGAAAATGTGGAAAGCCTGGATGGTAAGTCAACCAGGGCAATGCTTCTGTGCCCAGAAGTGTCCCTCAATGCATCCCCGAAGAGTGCGGGCTGTGCCCTTCCCACTGGGGAAGCTGTGTGCCTGCAGAATGGTGAGCTGCTGCGCTCTGAAAGCAGGAGAGGAAACACTCCAAGAACTTCTCTGTGGGAACAGTTGTAAATGTCACTAAGATCTGAACTGCAGCCACCCTCTGCTCTTCCCCTGGACACAGTGCACACAGTGGACAGAGACATCATCCCCTGGGGGGCAGAACAGCTTCATTCAAGATTTTAACCAGCAAAACAAAAAGTCAGTGACCACATGACACTTTAATGCTCTTCATGCAATCTGTGGTGTTCTGTGGGCTTGAACTGTACAACGACCAGACTGTCAGGGGAACAAGAACCTCTGATGGTGTAGTTTTCAAATCGATGCATAGAAGGTAACAAAGGAGAGAGGCACAGGGTAATCAACATGCTCAGCTACATTCACCCTGCCGCCTGCAGAGACAAGGTTAGATTGCCCTAAAATCATATTCCTAATTATTGAATAACCAATGAGTTTCATGGTGAGTGAGTCCTACTTAACCCATCCCAGCAGGCAGAAAGGAGGACACAATTTAACCTAGCCCACTTGTTTGAGACATGGAAAAGCATGCAACAAGGTACAAGGAAATTTCTGAAAGGTGTCTGGAAGTTATCTGTCAACTCAACAGGTTCTGCAGGGAACTACAGGAAATAAATTAAGCACTGTGCTTTCAGGGCACAGCACATTGTATATTGTGCATATATTGTATTGTGAATGCTAGAAACTAGTCCAGGCTGCCTGAACGAGAATCCTCAATCCTACCCCTCAATGACTGTTACCTTAGACGCTTCTACTATTCAGAACTTAATTTCCTCCAGCTAAAAAAAAAAAAAGAAGAAGAAACAACTCCACAAGCCCATGTAAGGTTGTGAGCATTTAGTGAGATAGTAACAGGTGTGATTATACCATAAAAAGCACAAGAACCATGCGTTAATCACTCCAGAGCTGATAGCTGGAAACTGTGGCCTAGAAGCACTCATCCAAAAAGGAAAGGAAGGAACTGTTGTTCCCTTTGTTCACAGAAACATTTCCAAGAAATGAAACTGTGGTGACAGCAAAACTGGAACATGACAGAAACGTACATGCAAAGCAGAAACCAAAAGAGAGCATGAACATGCCAAGATTTATAGAACCAGTTCTCAGCAGACTTCAACTCTCCCTAAGGTTAAAGGAGCAGTAATAGTGAAAACCTCTATGCAGCTCTGCAACAAGCCTCAGATCAGTGACCAAACCAACCCTGCTGCATGAGAACTTGATCTTCAGTGAACCATCTGATTCTGCTCTCTGGAAAGAATGGCCTGTGTCAACTACACTTGTAGGTACCACTGCTTTTGACTAAAAAAGGCAGTTAGTGGGCAAAACACACATGGACTGAGAACTGGCTTTCTGACTGGCTGTATCTCTTGTGGAACCTTGTTGAGGTACATTTAGCTGAATCATGGATGACCTTTACGTGGGTTATCCAATTTCCCCTTAGGGAATATACTATAAACCACCTGGTCTCAGCCTTCTTGTTGTCCTAAGATGCATGTGCTATGTTCCGGGCACTGTGATTGTCCACATACAACACAGTTCACCTACAAAATGACACCAAGATGGACTCTACAATTATTCCATCTCGCAGATGAGTGTCCTGGGGCAACTCCTGAAGTTACCTTGACAGATAGAAGAGGTAGATATGAGAAGAATGAGAGAAAAAGCAAAGAGAGGGGGGTAAAACACTGCACTAAGAACAAATAAGCAAATAACAGATGTAATTCAACATATAGATGTACATGCTTAAAACATGTCCCGTGTAGCAAGCTCATACACACGACACAAGTGGAACAAAGCAAATAGCAATAAGGGAGTGGTAATTAAGCAAAAGTAAACAGTGATTAGAAGAGAACAAACTGCAAACTGGCAAAAACTCCCGACAGGCATCATGTGGAGTCGGGGGGGGGGGTGTCATGGAATGTTATCGAATGATTCTTTAAAGTCTACATAATGGGTATACTGAGCACAAGCATTTGGTCTTTGGAGTGCCATCTATATTTCCCAAAGGGGAAAATAAACCTTCCACCACCTAATTCGACAATTGAAAGAACAAAGGTACAGAAATATGTCACTGCCCATATGAATACTACAGGCAAATGCTTCTTCACACATTCACAGGCACATGCATATATATGCAGGTTTGATAGTATGCTTGGGAATATTTAACAAATATCTCTTAGAAAATTTTATTTCACAATATCAGGACCTCACATTTATTGAGCAAGTCAAAGACAATACTAAAGCAGAGAACACATTCTTACTTACTGTGTCCCACATCACGATGTATACATCTGTATTGAAGGAATTATTAACGTGTTGAGTAATATAAAGGTTGATAAAATCGCAGAAGTGGTGATACATGTTAACACCTAGTATTGGAAAAAAGAAATCTACATTAATTAACCCCAAAGAAAAAATGATTCAACAAGTTTTATTCCATCCCATCTGTTTACATGTGATGATCTTTTAGCTAAAATAAGTGGGGAAAACAGTAAGTTCTTCCAAACGTGAAATAATCCACTCATTGATACAGACTGAATGGGTGGAAATATTATGTTAAAATTGGTTATTTAAGAAATAGAAATGCATTTTCCTGTATACACTAAGTAGCAAATGACCATTAAGTTTCCTGAAAAAAGAACAGCATTAAACTCAAATGAAATAGGATTAAAGAAGCATGAAGACTAATTGTTGTATTTTATGAGATCTTATGTTTTAAGTTAAGTAAGAAACAACTCTTCATTATAAAAGTTTTGGCAAAATGGGCCCTTCTGGTGGTGCAACGGGTTAAAGCACAGCACTATGAAACTGCAACAAAAGTTTGATTCCCCAGCTGGGAAGTGACCCACATGGCGCAGACTCTCCTGTCTCACCAGCTGCACCACTCAGCATTATATTTCAGTAAAATCTGCCTGTAGCTCCCCACTATGTTTCTGGTGAATCCCTCACCCCCCACACCTCTGGCCTGTACCCCAGTTCTGCATAAATACATAAATCTTTTCAAAAAGAAGTACTGGCAAAGATGGAAAATATTAACATTTTGGAATTTTTCATTCCTGTTTCTATTTTCCCTACTTAATCACTATTTAAGATGTTGCTTCTTGGAAAAATATTTACTATCATTTTAAAGGGCTTCATGCCCCATATTTTACTTGAAAAAGCATGAACTTTGGAGTCAGAAGAACTGGCCTGAATCCCAGTTCTGCCATTCATAAGCAACCTTCTCAGATAAGTTTGTAAAGTTCTCAGGCTTTAGCTTCTCTACTAGAAGTAAGGAGTGTTATGCTTAGGTGCCAGTTTTGTTAGGAGAAATTAAATAATAATACATCTAAAAGTACCCAGCCTACTGCCTAGCACCTGGTAAAGCCTCAGTGCAGGTTATCTAGGCTTGGAGGTCACAGTCAGTAAGAATGCAGAATTGCTATTCGCAACTTCTTAAGTCTGTCTTTAAAAAAAAAAAAAGCTGAACATGTACTATTGACTTAGGCATAGAGTATACAGTACTCAACCTGGAAATACATATAAACAAGATGAAATTCCAAGAACTGGCATTTAAAGTATGCATTTTATAGAAGGGCAAAAGTTAATTGAAAGAAAAACAGCAAAAACCATAACATATTCTGACTTCATTTCCATTGTGAATAATGTATGTAACAGGAAATTAGAATTAAAAAAAAAAGCAACAAAAAAACCCTGCATTCTTTTTAGACTGGTATCTTAAAAGAAAGTTTGGAAGGGCTTCTTGTCTCACCCAGAAAAATCTTACAAAGAGACTATATTCAAATAAAGAAAAAGAAACTTCTACTGTAGCACATGTCCTTCTCCCAGGTTAGCCACACCGCACATTAGGTCCCTCATGTATCATTCAGTGAATTCCTAACATTTACTGAGAAACACAGCAAGCACAAAATAGTTCTTGTTGCCATGAGAATTTATAAATAAGAAAACATAAGCTCTGTTCTCAAGGGCCTCCAGTGAGTCTTGTTCTATGGAATGCTCATCTCTTGAGGTAAAAGCTGATATGAAAAGGAAAACAGGATGGCAGACCAAGTTAAAAGCCAAAAAGATGACTTATGAATATAGGAAAGAAATGGCACATGTACATACCGGCTTACTACTCCTATTTTAATACTTCATGGCATACATAACTAAGTAAAATTACATATTCACATTCTTTTACAGGGAGATCACAGAGTTTTCCTTGCCTTTTTTAAGTTTACATATTTTAAAAATGAGTCAGGACCATGAACATAGCATTTTTACCTGCTCTTATTTCAAAAACCTAAAGCTGCCTGATTTCTAAAAATAAAACTTTGTAATATAAGAATTATGACCTCAGAAAGCATAGCACATTGAAATTATAATCAATAAATCATAATGATTCTGAAATAGTATTTCACAATAAGCCCAGCCTCTCATGAGTTCTGATATGATGTGGCATGGTAGTACCATCACTCATAATTAGATAATAACGTAAAATTTGTGTTTCTCCTCTCCAAGGCAACTAGGATATAAAGTAAAAGCTGTGCTTGCAAGTTGACCAAAATTATATGCATAAATGGAAAAATACTTTTATTTAAAAAAATACTGTAGTGCTAATTCCTGAAGAATTTTAAGTTCACTTCAGTCATGAGAACAATAGGTGAAAGTTTGCCAGAAGAGGTCATGGGCATCCAAACCACCCACAGTACACACATGGCTTTTACTTAAAAAATGTTTTTAAAGCAGCACAAATCTAAATTGAATGACTAGAGAAACCAGATGGGGTAAATTGAGTTATAAAAGGTGTACATATGTTGCTTCCACTCATCTTTCATTTTTGATTCAGTCTTTCCATAAATGTGAAGGTTTCTTCTAAAATACCAGAGGTAAAAATAATGGGATTTTAAACAAGTTTACTTCTTTAGCAAAGAAAGCCAGAAGTAAATCCAGTTATATTTCCCAAAAAGTCATAGGAAATCACTACATGTTACAACAAAAAGGAAACAAAATCTCATCACCTATAAAGAAAATGAATAAACATCTCACCTGCATCTAATTTCATGAAGTAGGTTGGCTTGTCAATAACGATGTCACATTTAGCATCTTCAATAGGTCTGAAGTTGAGCTGACTGTAGCTTTGCAGCTCAGCAAACCTGGAATTATGAATTGGGAGATACCTTCAAAACTCTTCTCCTGAACTTCTTAGGATTTGTTAAATAGGGAGATTTTACTGTAAGTATAAACTATAATGGAGACATATAACACTTCTCAAACATACCAACATGTCTACAACTTGATATCAATTTTATTGTTGAGAAAGGGGCAAAAATTATTTTTTTAATTCAGCCTAATGTACTCGATAAACTAGGAACTTTCCATAGGAAAAATTTACATATTGATTAGGTTAAGTAATGTACCAGCAAAGTCATATTTTCCTATACTCTGAGGAAGCACAGTCTCATTCAAGAACCATTTGAACAGATTTTTTTGGATTTTGAGAAAGATGTCATTCTAGGATTTACTGAGTGCCTCAGAAAGCTCACAGTCCAGCTTCCTGTTAGAAAGGAACATGTGTTTCCCCTTCAAGAGGACATTAATTCTTTCCTCCCAAAAGTGGGCTGAAATTAGTGATTCACCTCTAACAAACAGAATCCAGCAGAATGGTAGAAGTGATGGTATTCTGTATCCCCAGCCCTCCTTATTCTTGGGGATACTGTCTTGGTGCCCAGAGCTCTCCTGCCTGGCACTCAGAAGTAGGGTCAAGCTGGGGGCCTCTCATCAAGACCAAAAGTCCTGATATAAGGAACATACTGAGAAACCAGTATCTGCTGAAAACAGCAGGCAGATGTTGGAATAGAGATTATACGCTTCGATCAGCAAGAACAATGGAGCCCCTGGCCAGTAACTCCAGGCCACTGCACCCTAGCTTACATTCCCAAGAACTACTTCCCCCACACATGTACACTCCCTAGGTACTTGCCCAGTTTTGTACTGCTGCTAATAAATGTGAGACCTGCCTTTGGATGGGGCCTTCCCATTACTTCCCTCTCCACCTCACATTGCTCCACTTGAATGTCGAGCAATTTCTCTCATCCCTTGCCACTCTCTATGCTGCCACCTCACAGGGCGCCAGTGTGTCATTTCTGAGGTTAAGGTTAACAATACTAAGGTCTCCATCTTGGGACATCACCCCCACCACCTCTGGCTCTCAGGAAAGATGACTGCTGTGTTGTGAGCAGCAGGGAGAGGGGCTTTGTGGTAAAGAAATGACACCTCTGGTCAGCAGTCAGAGAAAAATAAAGCTTGCAACAGCATGAAGGAGCTTAGAAGCAGATTCTTCAGGTCTACTTGAGCCTAGACATGTCAACAGCCCAGTCAACAGCCCAGTCAACAGCAACCTCAAATGAGAGACCCTCGGCTAGACCCATCAGCTAAGTTGCCTTTAAATCCTGACTATGGGAAATTTCATGTCATAATAAATGTTGATTATGCTTAAGCTATTACAATCTGGAGAAACTGGGGTGGGTAGAAAATAAAAAAATAGTAAATTTTGAAAAATAGTAAATTCTGAGAAATTTTGCTGTACAGTAATAGATAATAAATACAAGTGTACCCTGGGATATACTTTGGAGTAATGTGCTACACTCCATTAAGTACCTAACACAAATATAAGCCATGATTTCCACAGGTACTAAGGATCAATATTAAAGATTAGCTATCAAAAGTATTAAGGACCAAAATACCTAGTAGAAGTTCCTACAGAAGTTCCTACCTAAAAAGTCTGTTAAGTCCAGATATTGCATTACAGACTGTAAAAGGCCCTACAAATGGATGGTAGATTGTTATGAATGGTTTGAATTAATTAATGTTATGTAAGTGTCCTATGTGACTATACAGGGGTAGCATGAGTTTCTTTGGGGTATTAAACAGTTCTTTATATCGACTGTCTTAGTGGTTACACGCGTCTAAGCATATAATATAACTTTCATTAAGCTATATGTACAAAAATTATATATAAGTGCATGTAAGGACTGGTGAAATGCAAGTGTGTATAAATAATAATATTGTACCAACATCAATTTCCTGTTTGTGATCACTGAGCTAGTTTTGTAAGCTGTTATCATTAGAGGAAGTTGGGGTAAGGTTACAATGGGAACTCTGACTTTTAAACTTATACATTCCAAAATTATTTTAAATGAAAGTAGTGTTAAAGTGTTCTCATGCTTTATTCTAGGGATGGTAATTTCTTGATAGACTGCAAAATTAGTTTAATAGTAAAAATGTTTAAAGCCAAAATGTGTTCCCCAATTTTTATAAAGTTCAAAAAGTTGGTGAATGATGTTAAAAGTCAGGGTAAAGGAGGCCCTCCCTGGTGGCGCAGCGGGTTAAAGCACAGCACTGAGAATCTAAAGCCGCTTCCTCATGAGTTCGATTCCCGCCTGCCCCGGAGGTGACCACATGGCGTGGCAGACCTCTCCTGACCCGCCCGCTGCTCCCCTCAGCAGTGTATTTCGTTGATCTGCCTGTTCTGCACTCCACTCTGTCTCTGGTGAATTCTCTCACCCTCTGCATCTCTGGCCTGTATCCCAGTTCTGTATGCACAAATAAAATAAAATCTTTAAAAAAAAAAAAAAAAAAAGTCAGGGTAAAGGAATGTTCACCTTTAGAGAGGAGGGTTAGGAGTGTGACAGGCAGGTGGCTGGAGGGCCAGTGACTTTTGACCAGAGCAGGAGTTACACAGGTGAGTTCACCTTTTCAGAATCCAAACTGTCCATTTCTCGATATGCTTGTTATGTACTTCAACATGTGTATGTTTTTAAAATGTGTTGCCCAAAATATAGGTGCAATTATGAGTAGTTAATAAAAACTAATTTTGAATTGATTTTTTTCTTTCATTATCAAATGGTAACACTATATCACACTTTCTAATAGTTTATAAACAGATACTTAATTTTGATAGAACTGATATTGTCACTCTGCAGCCCTTACTCTCCAGAAACTCATTACCAATTATCTATAAATGAAGTAACATTTCCCATTTGATAGTTCTTACCAAAATCTTTAAGTACCAGAAATAAATATGAATAGTTTAGAAAAAAACAGTAAAAAAAAACACCAAAAACTTACCACGATTGCAGAGGACTTTTACGCTGACCTTGAGACATCAATGTCCGACTGTCAAGTTTGCAGTGGCCTCCAATTGCACCACTCTGGAAAAAACCTTCCTTAAATCTGGGGGATAACAATAAGTTTTGAGTTCAAAAAGATTTTTCATGATTCAAGCACATGGGCTGTAAGTAGTGATTTGATAGTTTCCAAAATCAGTTTCTGATTAGACTTTAACTCTTGATAGCAGACCATTACAAACACATACAAAAGTAACAGAACAGTACAAGGAACCCGAGGTCCCTCCACCAAGCATCACCATTAACTCGCGGTTCTGTTTCCCAAATCCATCACCACACTGTTAGGAGGCAAATCTAAGGAAGATACCTGGATCTGAAACTATTTCAGAATTTCCATTAGATTCCACCAATCACTTTAAGTACCTGTCATGGTTCCTCTTGATGTTTCTTAAATCAAGGTAGAGATGGGCTGCTCTACAGTACTGAAGATAACGGGAACACACCAGACTTGAGTCATTCTGAAACAAGATTAAGAAAAACCAAGAGAAAGTGACTTGAGCCTTTCAAGGGCAAACACAGACTTGCTGGACTTGGAGAGAGCATGCACATTTGCAGGTCCAAACCACACAATATGGGAAGGAAAGCTTCCTGAAGACTGCTTCTGCTGAAGGATTTTTCTCCTCCCAGCAGACCTCAACCAAACATACTTCTGCTAATTGTCCTATTTTTAGCACCTGAAATTTTAAAGCCAAGAACTGTATATGTGGTTCAAGTCGGTCCTCTGTTCAAGAAAAAAGGCACTCAGAACTATTATTACCCTGATAGCTATGTAAGAAAGCATTTTTGAAAGAGGAGCCAAATGAAACATAGAGATTAAAATACAAGGCAGGAAGGGCATTTTGCCTATTTTATTAAGAGCTACTTTCTGCAAACCATAAAACTTGAGTTTGTGGCCCTTCCCGGTGGCACAGCAGGTTAAAGCACAGCACTGAGAATCTAAAGCCACTTCCGCATGAGTTCGATTCCCGCCTGCCCTGGAGGTGACCACATGGTGTGGCAGACCTCTCCTGACCCGCCCGCTGCTCCCCTCAGCAGTGTACTTTGTTGATCTGCCTGTTCTGCTCCCCGCTCTGTCTCTGGTGAATCCTCTCACCCTCTGCATCTCTGGCCTGTACCCCAGTTCTGTATGAATAAATAAATCTAAAAAAAAAAAAATTGTTAAAAAAAAAACTTGAGTTTGTGACAAAAGCAACATGAGGGGAATGTTTTCTAAGTCAGTGAATCTACATCAGTGAATCCTAAAGTCAGCCTCTGTTTCCACCAATCTGGTTTATATTGAAAGAGGATTAACTCCAAAAAAAATGTTTATCTAGATTTTATTTATAGAGTTAAATGCCATTTTACTGTTTTTTGCCATGACACCAGTGAACATGAGGCCTTAATCTTGACCTGCTTGGTACTTTGGAGTCTATGGTTGGTAAGGGATCCCACTCGAACTGTTCAAGCATATCAGGGAAGCATTCCCAGGTCACCTTGGGACAGGGGAGGACAGCTGTGGCTCCTCCCTCCTTTCCACCTGAAAATTGCCAGTAACTCCATGGACATTTATTAATGAACATTGAGCCTTTAGCTGGATTTGGGCCCTGTCTGGAGCATTTTAAAAAAAAGATTTATTTTAGGGTCCTCCTTGATGGTTCAGTAGGTTAAAGCACAGCACTATAAAGCTAACCACAGCCACTGCAGCATGAGTTCAATCCCCAGCCAGGGAGCTGACCCACATGGCACAGCACACCTCTCCTGACCCGCCTGCAGTGTATTTTGTCAGTCTGCCTATTCTGCTCTTCAGTCTGTGTCTCGTAAATTCTCTCATTACCCCTGCACCTCTGGCCCGTACCCCAGTTCTGTATGCTAAATAAATAAATCTTAAAAAAGAAAACTTATTTTATTTATTTATGCATATACGAGCTGTGGTGTAGGCCAGCGGTGCCAGAGGATTCACCAGAGACAGAGTGGTGCAGATAGCTGCAGATAGCTCCATAGTGTTGTGCTTTAACCCCTTGTGCCACCAGGGGGGGACCCTCTGTAAATATCTTAAAAGCCATGCTCACTTACGACCCACCATTTCTTGAGGGTAGCACAGCACATGCATCTCTTCTAGCCGCTCGCCTGCATATCCAAAATCAGCTTGTCTCCAGAAGAGGTCCCGTGCTGACTCAAGGGTGTCGGTCCTGTTCACAAAAAAAAAAAAAAAGAGAGAGAGATTCTGGGATTATTTTCTTTTTATTTTTTAACCTTGATTTCCCCCTAAATGTTAAAGTGCCAAAAGCGGTCATTTCTTTGATTTTTTTTAATAAATGAAAATAATTTTCCTGAAAGTATACAAGCTACATGAACTTATCAAAATAAATTATTTATAGACATATTTCTTTTTTCTAAGATTTTATTTATTTACATTTGCATAGAACTCGGGTGTAGGCTAGAGGTGCAAAGTAGGGTATGTGTATGTGAGAGAGGATTCACCAGAGACAGGGTGGGGAGCAGATCTATTAAACTCACTGCTGAGGGGGGCAGCGGGGGAAACAGCAGAGGTCTGCTGTGCCATGTGGATCAGCTCTCTGGCTCAGAACTTCACAGTGGTAGTGCTGAAACTTAACCACTAGGCCACCAGGAAGGTGCCTGGACATATTTTCTTATGATATAATGACACAACAGAAATATATGAAGTGAAGTTTATCTTGGATGAGAGACAATAAAAATGTTAATTACTGTATTTTCTTTACCCCATTTACCTTCACATTTTGGAACCACTAGTTATATGTAACCTTCCCTCCAGAATCAAGAAGAACCCATCAGTATGTAAGCAAATACCTAAAGAAATTACTCACTAAAACCAAAAAGTTGGGAATTGAGGCAGCAGTATACAATGCAGAGAAAAAAAAGATGTAAAGGTAAGAAGGAATTCTCTCGGCAAACTTACCATCCTGTGTCCACATAGCTGCAATCAGGGTAACCAAATCTGTACTCTGGTTTGCAGGATTTCTCATAGCCCCAGCAATACTTTAGATTTTCTAAGTGTTTCTGTAACATAAGACATGAACATAAAACATCTCTTCTAATAGAGAACACCCTTAAATTTGCCCATGATAAAAATCATTTTTATATAATTTTCATTTTTACCATTTAATTACTATTTACGAAATAATAACTAGAGTAAATCCTAATAGCAGCCTCAAGATTCCTAAGTTATCCTTAATCACACCCCCAATCATGTCTGCCCTCAATCAAAAGACCACTTAAACTGAAATTTCCTTAAGTAGCTTAATGAAACCTCCTTTTCCAGTGAACAAATAGATTCTAACATTAGGCCTTTGAGATACATAACTTGGAATTTCTGTTACCAAAAGAATAGCAGTTAAATTGAATGGCTCAGCAATTAACTATCGGCCAAGCTCAGCACAGCCCCCCC